CACAAAACGTGGATTCACAGCAAATCAGCTGGTTTCTTTCACACAAAAAACTATTTATAATATATTAGACTTGACTAAATCAGTTTTATGAACCAGACATTTCTGCCTCTGTGTGTGTGTGTGTGTGTGTGTGTGTGTGTGTGTGTGTGTGTCCAATCCGATCCAATTTTATTTATAAAGCGCATTCAATAAGGCATTACAACCAAACAAGGCACTGTACACTAAAAATGTTAGTCAATTAAACCGGCAAAAAATTATACAATCATGTCGAACACAGATAAAAGATAAAAAGGAAAAACAACAAAATTCCCAGAACTAACAGCTAGAAATCAATAAAACACAGGGAGAATAAAAAATTAGAAAAACATTTAAAAAAAGAACCAGAATAATACGGAAGTTGATATTGTGAATTCCCTTTTAAACAGTGCAGTTGTGACTGAGGTTCATAATTATGTGGTATACGCTAGGTTTAAGCAGTGAGTTTTCAAGCGTGATTTAAAAATGCTAGCTGTTGGTGTTTGTGTGTGTGTGTGTGTGTGTGTGTGTGTGTGTGTGTGTGTGTGTGTGTGTGTGTGTGTGTGTGTGTGTGTGTGTGTGTGTGTGTGAGGTTGTGCAACATCAGCTGTTGACTCGGTCAGGTCTGAGTCACTTTGACCGGATTAAAACTATTAAATCAAAAACTTTAACTCAGAATTCTAATTAATCAACTAGAAAAGGTTGATTTAAATCAAATAAAAACTAAACGTGCAGCTAAACCGTTGTAACTATTCCTGTCAAATAAAATGTTGAAGTTTTGTTTCAAATCATCAGCCGTACTTACGCACTGATCTGCGTATATCTGTGTATATCGTGCGTATGAGTTAATTTGCGCATTGTGTGGTATTCCTCATTTTGCACCTGTGCGTGGAAATGTTCCTAAGAAAACTTCAGACCGTGTGTAGGAACAGCACCAAGCTCCATAATTCTGCAGCAAATATGAAGCCAACAGGGAAGTGGCTAAAACTGCAGTTCCACCCTCATCCACTCGGCAGGGGTGCTTCCAGAAAATTTTGACTGGGGTGGCCAGATGGGGCCAAAAACATTTTTGGGGTGGCACACAAACTTGGTCCTTGTGGTAACGCTGGGAGAATTTAGCTTGTGGCGATGTACCGCATTGTGCCTTTTGTCGTCTTTGTTAAAATAACAGTACATATAAATTTTACTAACACAAACATTTCAGAAATATACATTTCAGTTATTTTAAATGTTATCCATAATTAATTTAAAATGTATTTTTTGGGTTAATTTACCTGTTGCTGTGTTTAAAAAAACTATAGAGATAAAAACTTTTTTAAATGGTGAGCAGCAGAAACGTGTATTTTTTAAATTCTGATTATTTCTTTACTCATTAATTGTAATATTTTTGTTTTATAATTATGTCTTGAATAAACAAGATCAATATTTGGTTTGACTGAACATTAATATGATTTGTTAACACTGGCTTTTCCTGGGGGGTGGGGGTGGGGGGGCATGGCCACCCCTTGGGGGCGCCCTTGCCACTAGGGGCTGGCAGCAGAAGAGAGCAGATCCTCATCGACTCCCATGTTAAAATACCAGTTTCACAGCAGAAATAAACATGTTTACAGCCTGGTTCTAAAAACGTTTTAGGTTTAATGGATCTAGTTTACACTCATGACAACTCTGAGGGGGGTGATTTTTTTGTAACTCTTCTGTGGAATTTAGCATCCGCGTGATGTCAGAGCTATCTCCGGAGAAAGGCCTCAGCCTCCCATTACTAGATGTTCGGCCATTTTGACTCTGAACTTTAGTTTTGTCTGTGTGCTACAGACGTTTCCCGGGGCGGCCAGGGCGGCTCCGAAGTGAAGCTGTAGTCATGCTGGATCTCTGAGGAAACACCACAGCTCTTTTTGTTGATGCTGCTTCACATGTGCTCAACCACATTTTTCCCACTGAAAACTCCCGGAAAAACTCCGTTAGCTTCAGGTTAGCATGTAGCTAATGACCCTCTAATCTCCGGCTCCCGGAGAAGGGACCATCAACAGCGGCGGACATGCAGATCTTTCACCGCGGTGGACCAACGACGCCCGATATCCTCGGTCAGCTTACCTAGTTATGATTCTGTTACTAAGCAGCCTGGAGGTGCCTTTACTTTGGAGTAGCTCTACCGCATTTTTTTGCTGAAAACGGCTGGATAAACTCTGTTAGCTTCGGTTTAGCATGTAGCTAGTGTCCCGCATATCTCTGACTGTGGAGCAAGGCCGTGGCGCCCAGTTACGACCGCAGCAGGTTGAGGCTCCGCTTATAATTTAACCCTCTGGAGGCAGGCGTTACAGATCATCAACGTTAAAACCTGCCTACCTGGTTACTCCACATACATATTTCATGAGCATTTTTTAACTCAGAAGTACCGCTGAAGGACTTAGTTGTTCGTCCTTTTATCAAAACTTATTTTGAGCCTGAGGGGGTTAACAGTCCCAGTCCATATTAGATCTCCACAGACGACCAGCGTGACTACAGCCTCGCACAGGTGCCAGTCTGCCGTGTGGGTGGGATATCCCGGTCCCAGGAGCCCTTCTCAGCTTTTTGGGTTAGCTAAGTTGGAACAGGTTCATTTGTACTAACCCTGTTCCAAACTTAACAGCCCCACCCTTAGCTCCGCCTCTTTTCCCATTTTTGGATTGTCTGGGCGTGACAGGGCCTGTGACACAGTCAAAATGGTTGTGGTGGTGGGAACCTCCCATTTGGGCACAAAAACTTGTAATTCGAGCCTATGGACATGAATTGTTCAGTACATATGTTGATGAGCGCCTCGTGCTTGAGATGCGCTAGATAAAAGATTGTTTTTAATCAGGGCATGCTCTCTGAAGGAAACGGTTTCCTTGAGCGCACTGACAGGAGATCCGTCTGGAGCTCTGCTGGGATTTGGCACCCTTTGTGGAGCGACAGACAAATTCGATTCGAGTCAATAATCTATCTTAAAGAGCAAGTCACCTACCAGTCTTTCTTCTCAGCCTTCAGAGAGTAATGACGCTTTTTTCTCAGCTCCCTTATCGGCTTCCCCAAGGCTCTTGTCCCGTCTGCCTACAGAGCACTTCTCTGCATTTCTCCTGAAACCACTACTCTTTTGGAAATATGGACCTAATTAACTGGTCGTTCAACGCGATTGACACATTTTTTTCTACGAAGAGAACGGAGAAGGGGGCTCCCACCTGTCCCGAAGGGACATTCGCAGCGGGATATGCACTCGATTCTTGGGAGGTCTGGCAGATCGTGTGCCTCTCTCAGCTGTCCATCGAGGACGTGGAAGATTTGTGGATATTCGGCCTGATGATCACTGGATTTCTTCTGATTGGAGTGGGAGGATATCTGGTTTTCTGAAAATTTGGGAAGACGGGAGCGATTGGAGTGCGACCCGTGCCCACGGAATGTGCCGCTCGTGCGGTGACCTCACAGACTGGGACGTTACTCGAGGTGAACCACAAGCTGGATAATGTCCTCGCGGCGTTGCCTGTGTTAGTACGCAAGATGGATGTCATCTCGGAAAGGGTCGCCGGACGATGTGGAGATGTTTAGAACACATAAAATTGGCTTCACGGTGGACATGAATGACCACTTATAGACTCCAAGGAAGAGAGGAAAATTATCTCTGCCTGCCCCAAACAAAGTCATGTTTATCCTTATCTGACGCCATAGCAGCATCTCAAGGCTGCTTCAACACACCCCCACGAAAGGAGGAATGCCGACAGATGCTGTGTCCCGACCTTCACCCTCTTCCTTCAGATTGAGACGTCTGCAGGAACTTCAATGTGCTCTCTGTTCCTTATCTCTCCTTCCCACCTGTTGGTCTGCAGCTGGTCGATGTGCCGAAGTGGCAGCTCCCATTGGAGGCTTCAGGATCCCGCCCAACCCCGCCTCCCCATCAGACTCTGATGTTTTGTATCTGTGCTGTTTGTGCTTCCATGTTAAGGAGTTTTTTTGCATAATAGTTACTCCCCGCTGGGGCTAACTCTGCTATGCCTTTTTTTTAACCTTACCCCCAATTATCCTTTTCATCGATCTATTAAGGTAGCGCGACTCATGTTGCGAATGACCGCAGTCACCAATTCTTGTCATGTGTCTTACCCAAGTATGTCTGATCTTTGAATTGTGTGCACTGAAACTCAATTTCGTTTCTCTGTATGTCCTGCACACGTGGTAGAAATGACAATGACTTTGACTTGACTTTCTCCTCTCCCACTTCCTGTTTGAAAAATGGAAAATAAATGCTGTTGCCTGGCAGACTGAGAGGGCAGAGCTGCTAACACACACACGACAATGTGACATAATGTACCAGCTAACATTATAGTTTATCTCTTAGCCAATAGCAATGGCAGATTTAAATTCACACACAGTTCAGAGTTCTTACCTGAAGACGGTGCAACACTGACACAACTGCAAGAACCCCCAGAACCTCCTCTGCTCCCTTCTTTTTCCGGCTCTTGGAGGGTGCAGACGCTTTTCTTCTCCTCTCCTCCATATCTTATCCTCAAGGCCTTTGTCTGTCTGTGTATGCTGGGTGCACGGCTGCTTCTGCACTTTTCTGGAAACTGGAACTGAAATTCACTAAAATGGATCTCGTCAGTTGGTCTCTCAACGCAATTGATAATTTTTTTTCAACGATGAGAAGGGGCTCCCGGATGCCCCGCCGGGACAGACCCAGTTGGACACATCATGGACTCCTGGAAACAGTGGAACTATCTCAGCTGCCTGTGGAGGAATCTGAAGACGTGTGGATATTCGTGGTGTTGGTGTCAGGTTTCCTGCTGATTGGCCTTGGAGGCTACCTGGCTTACCGGAAACCTATCTACACTGAGGTGACATGTGCTGCTTATCGTGGCTGCAGGAACTGAAGTGGGGATAGTCCCAACCCACCACCCCACCTAGTGGACACTTATGTTGTGATGTCTGAAGTCTGTTGCATTTCTGTGTGAGGTGTTTTTTTTTTTTTTTTTGCAGAGCAAAGCTGCCCTCCCTGGTGAGGGTAACGCTGAAGTGCCTTTTTTCCCTCCACCTGAACCAATCCTCATGTAACCCTCTGATCTCTATTAAGGTAACGCGACTCGGGGTTGCGAATGACCAGTCACCGATTCCTGTCATGTGTCTTGCCCATGTATGTCTGATCTCTGAATTGTGTGTACTGAAACTCTGATTTCCCTCTGGGATTAATAAAGTATCTTTGATTGTTCACACACACGTTGCCAAGGTAACCAGGTAACCAACACAACAACTCCTTCTCAATAGAGGCCTATTCATCAGGGGGTAGAGAGGCGGGAAATCAGAGTAGTTTCGGCTCGTTAAATAACAGACAGCTACAGTTTATAAGCTTGGCTCCACATTCCAGTCAGAAATGAGAAAACTCCTCAGATGAGAAACGAAACATCTTCAAAAACCAAAGAAGTCCAGTTGCCTTCATCTGAACCTTTTGGACTACCATGACCTGGATGACTGAGAACCAGCATGAGGTAACCAGACTGAATGACAGAAGAGGCGTGCAGATGAGTGAGAACAGACACGAGCACCTGGGAACGCACAGGTGGGAGTTTCCATCAGACGAGTGTGGAGGAACGTGCGTACGAGAGGCCTCCACATCAGGATTTTGACCGTTCCAACATTCTAAACTTTGTTCATAGGAAGGAATTTAGGAATATTTCTATGAACGTTTGATGAGGGCCCTGAAATCTGGTTGGATTAAAGGAAAATCCGAGTTTTAAACTGAAGAATCTGCTGCTTCACTTCCATTTTCTTAGTGAAGGGAACGCCGGCTCTTTCAGGAGAACCAGATCTCCCGGCTCTCAAACAGCATTTTCATTATTGTGTTTTAACTGGATTACTAATCTACACACATACACTTTAGATTATTTATAAAACAGCTGTTAACGTTACCTTTATGTTCGTCATCTTTAAATAAGTTAGCATAACTTTTAATCAGAACCATTTTGAATCGAACTTCTACCAAAGTTTAATCTCAGATCTGATTTTCCCACTAATCTGTTTCAGCTTTGATTTAAAAACTCCGGAGTTTTACTTTTATTTGCAGGTTTAATGAAGACAAAACCTCAGGATGATGATTTTATTTATTATTTCAGTAAACAAAAACAAACATTTGGACTTCCTGACTCAACAGCTACGGGAACGTGGCTGGAAGCGACACGGAGGTTATAAATAAAACGTATTCGTCTCCCGTTCTTCCTCCGACGCCTCCTCTAACAGGGATGATGGTCGGGAACTCGCTTCCTGGAAAAGCAGACGGGAGTGAGTCAGAACCTGAAATGCGAAAACGGAACGTGAGATCGGGACCACACTCACCTGGGAGCGGCTTTGATGATGTTGTCCACTCTCAGGATCATCTCGGCCGCCTCGGAGGCGCTCAGCAGCATCTGACGCTTCACCTGGAACGACTCGGTGATTCCGAGTTCCACCATGTCTCCGATGGTCCCGTTGGACATGTCTGCAGGAACGAGTCATTAACGTCCCGACGTTTCTAACACACACACCTGGTGTGTATCCGTTTACTCACTCAGCCCAAACGTGGTCTTGTTGTCCTGATGCGCAGCTCTCAGCTGGGCCACCAGGTCGGCGCTGTCGTAGCCGGCGTTGTCTGCGATGATGGTCGGCAGCTGGAACAGGAAGCGCAAATAAAACACTCAACATCTGGGGCAACTGCTACAGATCCAAGAGTTCGATGTCCTGGAACGCACCATCCTCAGGGCCTTGGCGAACGACTCCATGGCGGCTGCCTCTTTTCCTGGCGTCCTATTGGCCAGATCACTCACCACCTTCGCCATCAGCATCTCGGAGCAGCCTGAGGAGGAAGAACGTGAAGGTGGATTTGTCAGAAAACCTCTTTAAACCAAAGATCCGTCTTCTCGAAGGTCTCAGAGGAGCTCAGCCTGATCACAAACGAGGAGATTTCCGTATTTATCCTCTACGGAGCAGAACGGGAATCCTAAGGAACCTCCACAGATACCTCTCTGGTGTTTCTAAGCCTCAGCATCTCCATCAGGCCAGAGGATAAAGGTTCTCACTCACCATCACCAGGAAAACATCTACAAACATGACTTATACCAGGCTCTGAGGAGGAACCCAGCAAGTTCCTACCAGAACAGAGCAACTAGAGAACGAGCCAGAGGTAACATCTGGGTCAAAGGTCAGGCTGATGATGTGGGATTTTAAATGGACACAACACACGTCCACCAGGGAATGACGTCTTCAACATTCAGAGACCTGGTCTCACCACCACATGGACCAGAGACCACCATCAGTCCTCACAAGGCCAGAAGGACACACACCAAGTCAGTGGATCCCAACCTGGCTGATGTTCTGTAGCCAGCCATGGACGTTCTGACCCCAACTAGAGGTCACGGTTCCATAAAAAGTCTGGAGCTCCAAACCCTGGACGAGAGCTGGACTGCTCCAGGGTACAGATAAACAGTTTCTGCCTTTTTACTAAACTCAACAGACACGACTTAGCTAGCATTAGCGTTAGCATACCTCCTCCATAAACAGTTTCTGACTTTTTACTAAATAAAAAAGACACGACTTAGCTAGCATTAGCATTAGCATACCTCCTCCATAAACAGTTTCTGACTTTTTACTAAATAAAACAGACACGACTTAGCTAGCATTAGCGTTAGCATACCTCCTCCATAAACAGTTTCTGCCTTTTTACTAAATAAAACAGACACGACTTAGCTAGCATTAGCGTTAGCATACCTCCTCCATAAACAGTTTCCGCCTTTTTACTAAATAAAACAGACACAACTTAGCTAGCATTAGCGTTAGCATACCTCCTCCATAAACAGTGCGCGGCTCCTTGACGGTCTGAGCTAACACGCACAGAGCGTCGTGCAGTGAGCGCTCCGCTTCGTCCAGAATCTGCTGAGTCGCTCCTCGCAGGACGACGGTGCACGCCTCACCTGAGAGGAGGAAGGGTCAGAGGTTAAAGCCCTTTCTTTAAAAGGAAGCCAATATTAACTCTTTTGTACGGAACAACAAGAGTGCAAAAAACCAACTTAATATGTAAAAAAAGTACAGAAAACAAGTAGAAAATAGTGAATTCATCAGTTCATCAAAGCAAAGACCAAGTGTGTTTGTTTTATCGTCAGAAATGTTAAAAAAGGCAAAAATAAAGCAAAAAAATTAATTCTGTGTAAAAGTTATTAAACTAAGTTAAAACAAAAACTGTTTTATGCACATTAAGGTTAATTAACAAAAACATTTTTCATTCTGCATAATTTTATGTTCATTTTTCACATTTATTATTTTAATGAGGCGTTTTCTCACTGCGAGTCGGCTTCTGAGAACAAAGGTAAGACTAGCACCGTGTGTGTGTGTGTGTGTGTGTGTGTGTGTGTGTGTGTGTGTGAGTGTACCCATGGCGACCCCAGAGAAGTGGATGAGCGTGTCCTCCCCGATCATCACTTCCTCGATCAGTTTGCAGCGGCCGAGCTTGACGAGCTCCGGGTGGTCGAAGGTGGAGGTGATCTCGCCGCCTGATCGACACAAACGCGTCAGAATAAAGATTCAGTCGATTAAAAGACCAACAGCCGTGCTGGAAAAAGAATAATGGATCAGCTGTGAGTTCTGGGTTCTGTGTGTTTACGGGACCCGTACCGGTGACGAGGGCGAGGCGCTCCACGCCAGCAAAGTCAGCATGCTCGATGGCCATGACACCCGCCTGGGCGAACAGCTGCTCTGGGTAGTTGTAGATCAGCTGCCTGATGAACACATGAAACCACAGTAAGCCCAGCAGAGCTGCAGCAATAACATTTTCATCCTCATGTCTGAAAATAAGAAGTCAAACATGACTCTCGTTCAGTTTGGCTTGTGGAAAAGCAGCTGATGATGTCACCAGCTGCTGGAGACGGACCCGTTATAATACAGCTGATGATGTCACCAGCTGCTGGAGACGGACCCGTTATAATACAGCTGTTGATGTCACCAGCTGCTGGAGACGGACCCGTTATAATACAGCTGATGATGTCACCAGCTGCTGGAGACGGACCCGTTATAATACAGCTGATGATGTCACCAGCTGTTGGAGACGGACCTGTTATAATACAGCTGATGATGTCACCAGCTGCTGGAGACGGACCCGTTATAATACAGCTGATGATGTCACCAGCTGCTGGAGACGGACCCGTTATAATACAGCTGATGATGTCACCAGCTGCTGGAGACGGACCCGTTATAATACAGCTGATGATGTCACCAGCTGCTGGAGACGGACCCGTTATAATACAGCTGATGATGTCACCAGCTGCTGGAGACGGACCCGTTATAATACAGCTGATGATGTCACCAGCTGTTGGAGACGGACCTGTTATAATACAGCTGATGATGTCACCAGCTGCTGGAGACGGACCCGTTATAATACAGCTGATGATGTCACCAGCTGCTGGAGACGGACCCGTTATAATACAGCTGATGATGTCACCAGCTGTTGGAGACGGACCCGTTATAATACAGCTGATGATGTCACCAGCTGCTGGAGACGGACCTGTTATAATACAGCTGATGATGTCACCAGCTGTTGGAGACGGACCCGTTATAATACAGCTGATGATGTCACCAGCTGCTGGAGACGGACCTGTTATAATACAGCTGATGATGTCACCAGCTGTTGGAGACGGACCCGTTATAATACAGCTGATGATGTCACCAGCTGCTGGAGACGGACCCGTTATAATACAGCTGATGATGTCACCAGCTGCTGGAGACGGACCCGTTATAATACAGCTGATGATGTCACCAGCTGTTGGAGACGGACCCGCTGATGATGTCACCAGCTGTTGGAGACGGACCCGTTATAATACAGCTGATGATGTCACCAGCTGTTGGAGACGGACCCGTTATAATACAGCTGATGATGTCACCAGCTGCTGGAGACGGACCCGTTATAATACAGCTGATGATGTCACCAGCTGCTGGAGACGGACCTGTTATAATACAGCTGATGATGTCACCAGCTGCTGGAGACGGACCCGTTATAATACAGCTGATGATGTCACCAGCTGCTGGAGACGGACCCGTTATAATACAGCTGATGATGTCACCAGCTGTTGGAGACGGACCCGTTATAATACAGCTGATGATGTCACCAGCTGCTGGAGACGGACCCGTTATAATACAGCTGATGATGTCACCAGCTGTTGGAGACGGACCCGTTATAATACAGCTGATGATGTCACCAGCTGCTGGAGACGGACCTGTTATAATACAGCTGATGATGTCACCAGCTGCTGGAGACGGACCCGCTGATGATGTCACCAGCTGTTGGAGACGGACCCGTTATAGTAAAGCTGATGATGTCACCAGCTGCTGGAGACGGACCCGTTATAATACAGCTGATGATGTCACCAGCTGCTGGAGACGGACCCGTTATAATACAGCTAATGATGTCACCAGCTGCTGGAGACGGACCCGTTATAATACAGCTGATGATGTCACCAGCTGTTGGAGACGGACCCGTTATAATACAGCTGATGATGTCACCAGCTGCTGGAGACGGACCTGTTATAATACAGCTGATGATGTCACCAGCTGCTGGAGACGGACCCGCTGATGATGTCACCAGCTGCTGGAGACGGACCCGTTATAATACAGCTAATGATGTCACCAGCTGCTGGAGACGGACCCGTTATAATACAGCTGATGATGTCACCAGCTGCTGGAGACGGACCCGTTATAATACAGCTGATGATGTCACCAGCTGCTGGAGACGGACCCGTTATAATACAGCTGATGATGTCACCAGCTGCTGGAGACGGACCCGTTATAATACAGCTGATGATGTCACCAGCTGCTGGAGACGGACCCGTTATAATACAGCTGATGATGTCACCAGCTGCTGGAGACGGACCCGTTATAATACAGCTGATGATGTCACCAGCTGTTGGAGACGGACCCGTTATAATACAGCTGATGATGTCACCAGCTGTTGGAGACGGACCCGTTATAATACAGCTGATGATGTCACCAGCTGCTGGAGACGGACCTGTTATAATACAGCTGATGATGTCACCAGCTGTTGGAGACGGACCCGCTGATGATGTCACCAGCTGTTGGAGACGGACCCGTTATAGTAAAGCTGATGATGTCACCAGCTGCTGGAGACGGACCCGTTATAATACAGCTGATGATGTCACCAGCTGCTGGAGACGGACCCGTTATAGTAAAGCTGATGATGTCACCAGCTGCTGGAGACGGACCAGTTATAGTAAAGCTGATGATGTCACCAGCTGCTGGAGACGGACCCGTTATAATACAGCTGATGATGTCACCAGCTGCTGGAGACGGACCCGTTATAATACAGCTGATGATGTCACCAGCTGCTGGAGACGGACCCGTTATAATACAGCTGATGATGTCACCAGCTGCTGGAGACGGACCTGTTATAATACAGCTGATGATGTCACCAGCTGTTGGAGACGGACCCGCTGATGATGTCACCAGCTGTTGGAGACGGACCCGTTATAGTAAAGCTGATGATGTCACCAGCTGCTGGAGACGGACCCGTTATAATACAGCTGATGATGTCACCAGCTGCTGGAGACGGACCCGTTATAATACAGCTGATGATGTCACCAGCTGCTGGAGACGGACCCGTTATAATACAGCTGATGATGTCACCAGCTGCTGGAGACGGACCTGTTATAATACAGCTGATGATGTCACCAGCTGCTGGAGTCGGACCCGTTATAATACAGCTGATGATGTCACCAGCTGTTGGAGATGGACCCGTTATAATACAGCTGATGATGTCACCAGCTGTTGGAGACGGACCCGCTGATTATGTCACCAGCTGTTGGAGACGGACCCGTTATAATACAGCTGATGATGTCACTAGCTGCTGGAGACGGACCCGTTATAATACAGCTGATGATGTCACCAGCTGCTGGAGACGGACCCGTTATAATACAGCTGATGATGTCACCAGCTGCTGGAGACGGACCCGTTATAATACAGCTGATGATGTCACCAGCTGTTGGAGACGGACCCGTTATAATACAGCTGATGATGTCACCAGCTGCTGGAGACGGACCCGTTATAATACAGCTGATGATGTCACCAGCTGCTGGAGACGGACCCGTTATAATACAGCTGATGATGTCACCAGCTGTTGGAGACGGACCCGTTATAGTAAAGCTGATGATGTCACCAGCTGCTGGAGACGGACCCGTTATAATACAGCTGATGATGTCACCAGCTGCTGGAGACGGACCCGTTATAATACAGCTGATGATGTCACCAGCTGCTGGAGACGGACCCGTTATAATACAGCTGATGATGTCACCAGCTGCTGGAGACGGACCCGTTATAATACAGCTGATGATGTCACCAGCTGCTGGAGACGGACCCGTTATAATACAGCTGATGATGTCACCAGCTGCTGGAGACGGACCCGTTATAATACAGCTGATGATGTCACCAGCTGCTGGAGACGGACCCGTTATAATACAGCTGATGATGTCACCAGCTGCTGGAGACGGACCCGTTATAATACAGCTGATGATGTCACCAGCTGCTGGAGACGGACCCGTTATAATACAGCTGATGATGTCACCAGCTGCTGGAGACGGACCCGTTATAATACAGCTGATGATGTCACCAGCTGCTGGAGACGGACCCGTTATAATACAGCTGATGATGTCACCAGCTGCTGGAGACGGACCCGTTATAATACAGCTGATGATGTCACCAGCTGCTGGAGACGGACCCGTTATAATACAGCTGATGATGTCACCAGCTGCTGGAGACGGACCCGTTATAATACAGCTGATGATGTCACCAGCTGCTGGAGACGGACCCGTTATAATACAGCTGATGATGTCACCAGCTGCTGGAGACGGACCCGTTATAATACAGCTGATGATGTCACCAGCTGCTGGAGACGGACCCGTTATAATACAGCTGATGATGTCACCAGCTGCTGGAGACGGACCCGTTATAATACAGCTGATGATGTCACCAGCTGTTGGAGACGGACCCGTTATAATACAGCTGATGATGTCACCAGCTGCTGGAGACGGACCTGTTATAATACAGCTGATGATGTCACCAGCTGTTGGAGACGGACCCGTTATAATACAGCTGATGATGTCACCAGCTGCTGGAGACGGACCTGTTATAATACAGCTGATGATGTCACCAGCTGTTGGAGACGGACCCGTTATAATACAGCTGATGATGTCACCAGCTGCTGGAGACGGACCCGTTATAATACAGCTGATGATGTCACCAGCTGCTGGAGACGGACCCGTTATAATACAGCTGATGATGTCACCAGCTGTTGGAGACGGACCCGCTGATGATGTCACCAGCTGTTGGAGACGGACCCGTTATAATACAGCTGATGATGTCACCAGCTGTTGGAGACGGACCCGTTATAATACAGCTGATGATGTCACCAGCTGCTGGAGACGGACCCGTTATAATACAGCTGATGATGTCACCAGCTGCTGGAGACGGACCTGTTATAATACAGCTGATGATGTCACCAGCTGCTGGAGACGGACCCGTTATAATACAGCTGATGATGTCACCAGCTGCTGGAGACGGACCCGTTATAATACAGCTGATGATGTCACCAGCTGTTGGAGACGGACCCGTTATAATACAGCTGATGATGTCACCAGCTGCTGGAGACGGACCCGTTATAATACAGCTGATGATGTCACCAGCTGTTGGAGACGGACCCGTTATAATACAGCTGATG